CATTGACTGTCACTTTAGCTTTATGTATTTCACTGTACAGAAATTATATTTCAGTAAATTACATTTTTAAAAAATTAAAAAATAAGTAACCAGGTGGGAAGGGGTCACAGGGTTAAGTGTGGGACAGGCTAGACAGGCTGAGTGGAGGTGGCTAGGTCTCAGAAACCAATGCCACTGGCCTGGCACTCAGCAAAAACAGGTTAGAGGGGTCAGTGAAGTGGGAAAGCTGCAGCCAGTGGGAAGGCACAGCCGTGGAGGACCACCAAATTCCAGCCACGGGAAGCCTTTCCCACCCCTGAATTGCCCCTCTGCCTTTTCTTGTTTTTACAGCCAGGTTTCATGGACTGTCTCCCCTAAAATGTGTGTCAGCTTGGCTGGGCTAGATTCTCAGGGCTGCCGGAGTTACATAATGATGTCATCATCCCCCATGATGTGAGCTGCCGATCAGCTGAAGGGGTTGGGGGGGATGCAATGCCCTCCCTCGGGTCTTAGCCCTGATCTGGAGTTTCCTTGGGGTGTGGTCTACATCACCTTTCATCTTACAGCAGAGAAAACTGAGCAGGAACAGAGAGCATCGGTTGGACCCAGGGTCCGTGCACTGAGAAGCTCCTAGACCAGGGAAGACGGATGCCAAGACACATGGAGATCTCAGAGGACGCTGGGCCCACAGGTGTCAACACAGCCCACTGAGAAAACGTCCCACGAGAGCTGGTGCCTGAATTTGGACTTCTAGCCCCCTAAACTGTAGAAGAATAAATTTGTCCATTACAAGCATCTGCTTGCAATAGTTTTGTTAGCTGCACTAGAGAACTAAGACACCAGACAGACATCACTCGCTCTCCGTTCCTAACTCTCCTCCCTTCTCCTTATTAGCATTCTACAACGAGATTTCTACTCCAGAAAACCAAACCGAGAACTGCATACCAAGCAACATTAGTTGAGAAGGTCCTCCAAGCCAAAAAGAAAGCTGTCTTCCCAGACCACTGTTAATTCCTGGAGAAGAGAGATCATTCCTAATGCTTTGTAATAACCAGTGCAAGCAAAATGCAATGGGCCACCCCATCAGTGACACCCTCAGGAAGAGGCCACAAAACGTATTCAGGCTGGGTCGAGGGTGTCCAAAGGTCTCATAGGCAAGTGACAAAAGCCCTGGTGAGGACGAGGGGACATCAGGGCCTGTGGCTCAGCTCTGAGCCTTATGAAACAGCCACCAACCTCGCAAGTTGCTCCCTCTCTGAGTTTTTCATCCATTTTACAGACAGGATGTCACGGCCTAGCACCATCTCTGTCAACCTTCCAGTCGACAATCTTCAAGCCTGCCTAACTGTGCGATTAAGGTTGGGAAAGGACTTCCTTTAAAAATAGTTTTAAAAGGTATCATCAGGCACTTCAGGGTCCATCTGAACATTTTTGGTATCCCCCAATGCCTTTCAACTCTCACTGCTGGTAAGCACGTATCTGGGATGTGAGAGACCAGAGGCACAAAGAGGAAGTGAGGTGCAAACAGCTCACTTGGGCTCTAGGGGCACAGAAAAGGAATCGAAATTGGACTAGGGGATTATCTGCGGCATCCAGCCGGCTTCTAGAGACTTCCACGCACCCTGGTTAGTCAGTTACAATGAGGAGAAGGCGGCTGAAGGTCTAAGGTCTGAACAGATGGACTCACACATGTTGACCAAGTAACTCTTGAAGGAGAGTGGCATAGGGCTCCGAGGGCTCATGACAGTTTTCTGGTACTTCCTCATCCCCCATTTTAAAATTCTAAGCTTTAAAAAAAAAAAAAAAAGGAAAACAAAAAAAACCCCTTGTTCCTTTGCTGTTTGGAGCCACACCTCCTAACTTTGGTTACTAACACCCCGCATGACAGTCTGAACAGTCTTAGTGCGGAATTAGCAAACGTAACCCCTTCTGCGCTAACAAATGACTCTTGGAGAAGGAAAAGAAATCAAATGACGAACTCGAGGAACTAACAGTTAAAGTGACCAAGCGTGTCCCACACATCTTCACGCAAAGCCCTGAACCCCAGAGGGACTTTCTGGACATTCTAAGCTTAGTACAAAGTGTACTTTGGGGCTGAACGGTATTGTTTTCCGAAATGGGGCCCGTTTTCCCTCTAAACTGACACTGTGGAAAAACTTGCCTCCTGGAAACTCTTGGGCAGCGAAAGGACCAGTATCGCAGGGTTCGACTTGGATTTCTCAAGGGTTCGGGGAAAGATGGCTTTCGCCGGCCGCCATCCCCCCAACCCCCGCCGGTCTCCCGAACGCGCGGGCAGGCCCCGCCCACCGGAGGACCCCGCCCCCACCCGGGGCCCGGCCCCGCCCCCACTCCGGTCGGGCCCCGCCCCCAGCCCCGGCTCTTCGGCCCGGCTCTCCCGGTCCCCGCCCGGAGGCGTCACCTGACCGGCCGGCCCCCGGCCCGCCCCGGCCGCCGCCACCGACCTGATGACACTGATGTGGAACTGGTCCTCGCGGAGGCCCCTCCAAGCGCCAGGCAGGAACTCCTTGCACCACAGATAGGCCTTGCGTCGCGTCCGGGGGTCGGGCTGCT